CAAAAAAACATTCTTAGGAAGAGCAGACTGGTCCTGCTGGACTTCCAGGTCTTTGATAGGCTGTTTGAATTCACTGAGTGCACGCTTATAACCTATCATTAGGAACGCCTCCCTAGAAAAGTCAAGACGTTGGAGTTTTTATAAAATAGTCCTGGCCCGTACTGATTGATAATTATCCTTAATAAGGAAAGAACCCAAACCTGTAGGAAAAAATGGCATCAGGATTTCCTCTTTACAGCCCAGAATAGCCTGCCTGAATGCCCTTCAGATATGTGTACCAACTCCCAGCAATGGCTACACTAACTAGGGAATTCTAAAAATATCTGGAATGTACCAGATTGGGGAAGCCTCAGAGAAGTAACCACAGATCATGGAGGCTTCTGAAGGGGTTTAGCTTTCTATATCCCACCTGGCTGGCCATGACTATAAACCGCTGCTAAAGGAAAGGGCTTACTGCAAGATTCGAACAGTGGCAGATGGCACCATTTTAGAGAACAATAATCTTCCTTCTGATTAATCTGGAAATTACTAAAGTTCTATTCTTCTGCAAGTTATTCTGAATACAGAGCTCACAGGAGCCATTCCTCCAGGTTTTTAGGATGTGCCTCTCTTACCACCTACTGGTTGCCTAAAGGTGGGACAAGGTAGATCAATTCAGTCCCTCCCAAGGAATATTAGGGAACCATCCTCCCATTTAACTTTGCACCATCCCTCTCTACCTCATCCAAGGGTGCTCAAGAGAGAATCTGCTTCTTTGTATTAACAAGGCTTTTCTTCTATGCAAAATCCATTCTTCTCAAACCCCTTTAACAAATCATTTGCTTCATTAACTCGCCCCAAGCATTTTCCATGAGGGGGGTCAAGGCAGAGACATTCAGGTCAGATCGTTTATGACAGCAGGCAAAAGTGGTTCATGGTAGCTGGAAACAACTGTGGAGAGGTTAAACCTCTGTCCCAATTTAGACAGAGGAAGAGGTATTCAGGATCTTATTCCCCACCACAAATGAAGTTTGATAGAACCAAAGCTTACACA